GCGGGTTTATCTGCTTGCGCCGCCGCTATGGGTGATTGCTTCGTTACTTGGGCGCAAATGTGAAGTTGGGTGTCCTGCCCCTCTGTGTATGCGCGACGCGGGTTTATCTGCCTGCACCGCCGCTATGGGTGATTGCTTCGTTACTTGGGCGCAAATGTGAAGTTGGGTGTACTGCCCCTCCGTGTATGCACGACGCGGGTTCATCTGCTTGCGCCGCCGCTATGGGTGATTGCTTCGTAGCTTGGGCGCAAATGTGAAGTTGGGTGTCCTGCCCCTCTGTGTATGCGCGACGCGGGTTTATCTGCCTGCACCGCCGCTATGGGTGATTGCTTCGTAGCTTGGGCGCAAATGTGAAGTTGTTTGCACTGCCCCTCCGTGTATGCGCGACGCAGGTTCATCTGTTTGCGCCGCCGCTATGGGTGATTGCTTCGTAGCTTGGGCGCAAATGTGAAGTTGGGTGTCCTGCCCCTCTGTGTATGCGCGACGCGGGTTTATCTGCCTGCACCGCCGCTATGGGTGATTGCTTCGTAGCTTGGGCGCAAATGTGAAGTTGTTTGCACTGCCCCTCCGTGTATGCGCGACGCGGGTTCATCTGTTTGCGCCGCCGCTATGGGTGATTGCTTCGTAGCTTGGGCGCAAATGTGAAGTTGGGTGTACTGCCCCTCCGTGTATGCACGACGCGGGTTCATCTGTTTGCGCCGCCGCTATGGGTGATTGCTTCGTTACTTGGGCGCAAATGTGAAGTTGGGTGTCCTGCCCCTCTGTGTATGCGCGATGCGGGTTTATCTGCCTGCACCGCCGCTATGGGTAATTGCTTCGTAGCTTGGGCGCAAATGTGAAGTTAGGTGTACTGCCCCTCCGTGTATGCACGACGCGGGTTCATCTGCTTGCGCCGCCGCTATGGGTGATTGCTTCGTTACTTGGGCGCAAATGTGAAGTTGGGTGTCCTGCCCCTCTGTGTATGCGCGACGCGGGTTTATCTGCCTGCACCGCCGCTATGGGTGATTGCTTCGTAGCTTGGGCGCAAATGTGAAGTTGTTTGCACTGCCCCTCCGTGTATGCGCGACGCGGGTTCATCTGTTTGCGCCGCCGCTATGGGTGATTGCTTCGTAGCTTGGGCGCAAATGTGAAGTTGGGTGTACTGCCCCTCCGTGTATGGGCGACGCGGGTTCATCTGCTTGCGCCGCCGCTATGGGTGATTGCTTCGTAGCTTGGGCGCAAATCTGAAGTTGGGTGTACTGCCCCTCCGTGTATGCGCGACGCGGGTTCATCTGCTTGCGCCCCCGCTATGAGGGATTGCTTCGTTACCTGGGCGCAAATGTGAAGTTGGGTGTCCTGCCCTTCTGTGTATGCGCGACGCGGGTTTATCTCCTTGCGCCGCCGCTATGGGTGATTGCTTCGTAGCTTGGGCGCAAATGTGAAGTTAGGTGTACTGGCCCTCCGTGTATGCGCGACGCGGGTTTATCTGCTTGCGCCGCCGCTGTGGGTGATTGCTTCGTAGCTTGGGCGCAAATGTGAAGTTGGGTGCACTGCCCCTCCGTGTATGCGCGACGCGGGTTTATCTGCTTGCGCCGCCGCTATGGGTGATTGCTTCGTAGCTTGGGCGCAAATGTGAAGTTAGGTGTACTGCCCCTCCGTGTATGCGCGACGCGGGTTTATCTGCTTGCGCCGCCGCTATGGGTGATTGCTTCGTAGCTTGGGCGCAAATGTGAAGTTGGGTGTACTGCCCCTCCCTGTACGCCCGACGCGGGTTCATCTGCTTGCGCCCCCGCTATGAGGGATTGCTTCGTTACCTGGGCGCAAATGTGAAGTTGGGTGTCCTGCCCTTCTGTGTATGCGCGACGCGGGTTTATCTCCTTGCGCCGCCGCTATGGGTGATTGCTTCGTAGCTTGGGCGCAAATGTGAAGTTAGGTGTACTGGCCCTCCGTGTATGCGCGACGCGGGTTTATCTGCTTGCGCCGCCGCTGTGGGTGATTGCTTCGTAGCTTGGGCGCAAATGTGAAGTTGGGTGCACTGCCCCTCCGTGTATGCGCGACGCGGGTTTATCTGCTTGCGCCGCCGCTATGGGTGATTGCTTCGTAGCTTGGGCGCAAATGTGAAGTTAGGTGTACTGCCCCTCCGTGTATGCGCGACGCGGGTTTATCTGCTTGCGCCGCCGCTATGGGTGATTGCTTCGTAGCTTGGGCGCAAATGTGAAGTTGGGTGCACTGCCCCTCCGTGTATGCGCGACGCGGGTTTATCTGCTTGCGCCGCCGCTATGGGTGATTGCTTCGTAGCTTGGGCGCAAATGTGAAGTTGGGTGTACTGCCCCTCCGTGTATGCGCGACGCGGGTTTGTCTGCTTGCACCGCCGCTATGAGTGATTGCTTCGTAGCTTGGGCGCAAATGTGAAGTTAGGTGTACTGCCCCTCCGTGTATGCGCGACGCGGGTTTATCTGCTTGCGCCGCCGCTATGGGTGATTGCTTCGTAGCTTGGGCGCAAATGTGAAGTTGGGTGTACTGCCCCTCCGTGTACGCGCGACGCGGGTTTATCTGCTTGCACCGCCGCTATGAGTGATTGCTTCGTAGCTTGGGCGCAAATGTGAAGTTAGGTGTACTGCCCCTCCCTGTACGCGCGACGCGGGTTTATCTGCTTGCGCCGCCGCTATGGGTGATTGCTTCGTAGCTTGGGCGCAAATGTGAAGTTAGGTGTACTGCCCCTCCGTGTATGTGCGACGCGGGTTTATCTGCTTGCGCCGCCGCTATGGGTGATTGCTTCGCAGCTTGGGCGCAAATGTGAAGTTAGGTGTACTGCCCCTCCGTGTATGCGCGACGCGGGTTTATCTGCTTGCGCCGCCGCTATGAGTAATTGCTTCGCAGCTTGGGCGCAGATGTGAAGTTGGGTGTACTGCCCCTCCGTGTATGCGCGACGCGGGTTTATCTGCTTGCGCCGCCACTATGAGTGATTGCTTCGTAGCTTGGGCGCAAATGTGAAGTTGGGTGTACTGCCCCTCCGTGTACGCGCGACGCGGGTTTATCTGCTTGCGCCGCCGCTATGGGTGATTGCTTCGTAGCTTGGGCGCAAATGTGAAGTTAGGTGTACTGCCCCTCCCTGTACGCCCGACGCGGGTTTATCTGCTTGCGCCGCCGCTATGAGTAATTGCTTCGCAGCTTGGGCGCAGATGTGAAGTTGGGTGTACTGCCCCTCCGTGTATGCGCGACGCGGGTTTATCTGCTTGCGCCGCCACTATGAGTGATTGCTTCGTAGCTTGGGCGCAGATGTGAATGTGCGCGTACTGACCATTCGTGTATGCGCGACGCGGGTCAATCTGCTTGCTAGGACGACGTCAAAGACAATGTACGATGTCTAGTACACCCTCTAGGACGACCTCTAGAACGATCTCAAGGGCGAACTTTGTGGCGACCTGGAGGATGCCTTCTAAGGCGACGTCGAGGACGACGTCCTAGAGGACGACGTCAAACACGACGTCTAGAACGACCTCTATGGCGTTCAAACAGAGACGTTCTTTAGGACGACTTTAAGGGCGACGTCTAAAACAAGCTTCAAGACGACGTCCACGACGACCTCTAGGACGATCTCAAGGACGACGTCTACGCTACGCGCTATGGGAGGACATCAAAGCGACGTCTAGAACTACCTCTAGGACAACCACTAGGGTGATCTCAAGGACGACCTCTAGGACGAAGTCCGCATACTGGTGGCGCCTGCGAATGCGTACGTCGTGCGTATGCGGACGTTCGGCATTTCGCGCCGCGCATAGGCAAGGGGCATTCGAAGGCAGAGAGCGTATCGCGAAAACTGGGTGAAGTAGCTAAAGAATGGTATCGCATTAATAGCGACGGCGCAAAAGAGTGTCGATGAGGGTCTGTGTCATACTGGGACAGGACGTTCAGTAGTCGGCGAGATCCTCGCGCATGGCTCAGAACCCAATTGAATTTTTGGCCGCCATACATCCGCAGGGTGATGATTTGACCGGTCTTTAAGGCCAAGTTACACTAACCTCGTCAATTGTGATCTGCATTATTCCTTTGGGTAAATAGGCTGCCGTCTTTGGTCGATATAAAGCGTAAATGGTTTAACAATCCATCAGTCAATGAACGATGGCAAGAACCTTAGCTTCATCGGATTGTGGTGGGAAATTTTTCTATTACCAAACATGCAAGCGAATATATAATTAGATGCAATAAAATATAACGGCGTAGGTAATACTATAAAGTCTCATAACGGCAGGAAATATCATGCAATGGCAATGCACATGTTCTGTTGGACACGTTAGCAACAAGTACCTAACTTTGGCGTGTGCTGTTATTAATATGTGCTACAGCAAAAAGAAGCACGCCTTTACGTGCGTGCTGTTTTGGCCCGAGCTGTTTTAGCCCCTGGTCTTCTGTTGCACTGGTGCTTTGACGCCGTACTGTTTTGTCGCGTGCTGTGTTGTTGCTGTGGTGTTTTGACGCTGTGATGTTTTGACGCGGTGCTTTTTTGACGCGGTGCTTTTTTGACGCGGTGTTGTTTTGTTGTGTGCTGTTTTGACCGCGTTGGTTTGCCGCGTCCTGTTTTGTCGAGTGCTGTTGTGTCACGTTTCCGAAGGATACGTTGGTGGAATCGACACGTGAGGATTTCAAACGCGATCAACATTTTTTTTGTATTGGAGGGTCGGTGTACAATTTAACTATTAAACTCTCTCGACAGGACTTTGAACAATTCTGCATTGGTTCGACAAGCCCACCGAGCATATTATTTTTATACATTGGTACCAATTAACAACAAAAAAAAATCCACATATGATTACTTATAAAAAATGGTTCTAAATTTTTACCTCAATATGGAGTTGCCTGCTCACTGTGGAATATGGCATTTGCTAAGATTGTCAGTGAGCTGTAGTGCTTAGATATCTGAATATAGTAATATGTGAAGTAAGCTCAACGATAAAAACGTTTGTACATTACTTCTAATTTGTTTTTGTATTTGATTAACATATATTTGGTTCGTAACTCACGCTTGACTTGTCGTCGCAATTGCGAAACTCGGGTTGCGTCTCAGGAAGTTTGCTCCATACGTCGTGAATGTTCTCTGTCGCCAAGCAAATGTATAAAATATCAGTTTTGCGCGGTATTAGGTATGGTTACAGAAGAACTCTAAAATAATGTACTTTATAACAAATATTTTTAAAAAGTAAAAAAAAAAAAAAAACTTATGTTGCAGGAGCATGACAGTTTAAACGTATAGTTGCAGTTTTTTACGGATATTCTTGAGAATATAAGAACGTCGCGTGTTCCTTTAAGTACCTGGGATATGGTATAGTGAAACATACTCTAAGAGACGTTTTGTTTTTGATACAGTCATCTCTCATTAATATGAACTCCGTTAATATAAATACCCCGCTATACGAACACCATTTTTGGGGATAAGCTGGGAAAATACATTCATTTTTGTCTCGTTAATTTGTACAACTCACATTATGGACGATTGTTTGGAGGAACGGAGGCGTCCATAATAACGAGACATCACTGTATAACTACACCTTTAAACAAAATGCTGAGACCTCTAGGATACAATTGAAAAATATAATTTGTTCGAGGGGGAAATTAGAATTACTAAAAAACGCTTTTGGAGCAAAAAAAATGAATAAGAGTATGTGTTATGTAGTTTCAAGAGAAAAATTGAAATATTTTTATATTGTATACAATTTAATAGAGGTATGCTTGCGTGTGGAACGCTACACAAATTGGACCCAGAACTTCTGCTTTCGTGGATAACACACGCATTCAGTAGGATTAGCTAAGTGGCAAAAAATGGAAGAGTCCTGGGTTAATTCAGAGTACAGCCAGAGCAATAGCTGCGACACGTGGCGGAAAATCGCTGGGCATTGGCGCCGCGTTCACGCACCGTGGGGCAGTGGGATGCGTTAACGAAAGCGTTCGGAACAAAATGGAGATCTGTTTTGTTTCGAACGCTTTTGTTTTCTTGTATTTTGCACCAAACGCGTTTTTAGTTTTGTTGTTTTGTTCCAAAGCGTGCCAAAGCGCGTCTCCCTGTACTAGCTCTTGGCATTGGCAGTGATACGACGGCATTTTGTTATAGGGTATTTTGTTTTTCAGAGAGCGCGTGCAGTGGGCATTGGATACTACAAATATGCTGAGTTTAGAGCGGGTTACTAACGCTGTGGCATGGCTCAGTGGTAACGCGCCCACTTCTCACGCAGTGGACCTGCGTACGATCCCAGCGGGCGGCGGGTGATCTTTTTCAAGAATTTGACAACATGGACGACGGACGCCCTGCATCTCCAACTACGAGATCAACAATGACAATTTCTACAACAAAAACGGTCGTCATTTCCAGTTATAAGAAGAGCGCATAACAGCTATCGCTGTAAAGCACTACCAAAATTCCTCGAAAACGAATGCCGGATCGCTGTTTTACAAAATCAAAGGCCATCTGTTCCACTGACACGCCACCGCATCTATCTGCATCGCGCGTTTTTTATTATGACAAAGCGCAAGTGCCGTCATTGTTACGAAAATGCCATATTTCCTGTGCCCACCAAGAGCTCCTAAATCGTCCAAAGTTTGAGGTTCCGACAATTCCTTATAAGAAAACTGTGGTGGCCAGTCAATGTGGCTATGATACGCTATCGTCTCATATTTATTTTTTGGTGTGCGCAGATAACAGCAGATGGTTATCAGGTTTCTGATATAGCAACCTCAAGCTGAGCAACCAATTATTATTCTATACATCTTTCTAAAGATCGACATGACCTACTTCAGCACCAGGCACCAGTCCAGCTTATAAAAAACAATCATCCTGATGACGTGTTGAAACCCTATAATGCTTTGTAACCGATATTGTATTAGAAATGCAGGTTAACTGCAGTGAGGTTGACGTTATGTAAAAAACATTTGATATCAGATTTTCTACTTTCTCGATGATAAATGGCATGAGTATATCTAAACAAACAATAATCTGCGTCCAATGTTTCATTAAATAAAATGCGCGACATGTTAACTTCGTTTTTGTGCGGAACACACCTACGGCTCTTTATATGACCTGCAGGAAGGAGCTTAGTTATTGTAGACATCTCAGTTATTGGTAATAAGGTGCCAGGAACCATGGCGGCAATGCGGTCGCCATGAGATGCTGTGGGTGAGCTACACATGTTACTCTTATATAATGTTTACTTCAGAAAAGGATGCGTGCGGTGAACACTTAAGCAAAAAGTAGAAATCAGTTTTGAATTCACCAACTGGGCGGTGACTGCAAGAGATTCGAGCATTTTATTTTTTGGAGGCTGGGAGGTGCTACAAGCTTCGCATGAGACCGTCATATTAAATGCAATGATAAATAATATACACCTGTTCAAAGTGAGAGTTGAAGGGTTCAAGTGTGTTCAGTCAATAAGGTAAGCAATAACATATTCCGCGAAAAATTCGTGGTTTTATTTAAGAACAGGAACAAAAATAAACGGTCGAGTTAGGAATTCATTTCGCGTCTAGAGAAGAACTGTAACAACCGAAAAGGACACGTCGATATAGTGCCAAGGTACGATCACCGACAGGTAGATAAGCAGATGCAAATGTGACTGAATGTGACCGCAACCCGTGTGCTGAAACTGCTGGTATTTTTGCTAAACATTCACGAGACTGCAGGAATAATTTAAAGATTAGATTTTTTTATAACTTTTGTTAGAGCAAAATATTTTTTACGAATACTATGTTTTCTCTATTGATCATTTTAATAATTTTTGGTGCGAGCTCAAAATTTTCTTGTTTTTTCAGACCAGGTTTTAACGACCAACAGTAGCTCTGCTCAGCAAAATAGGACATGCCGTTGGGCGTCTGCTCTTCAGTAACGCGTCAAAGTAAGCTTGAACAAAAATATAAAAAAACACTGGTAAATTTAAAACATGCTTTGAGCCATGCTTTAAAATATGCTTCAGGAGTAAAAAAAATTTTTATTAAAATGAACCAAGATTTGCAATTTTGGGAATTTTCTGTCCTTTTTTTTCTCTCGCGAGAAAGTTGAAGTCTTATTGGGAAGTAAGAACTTGATACGCCCTGTCTTGTTCAGGTTTATTATCTGCTTTATTTTGATTTACTTTCTAGAAATTCTGATTTTGGTCATAAGAAGCGTCTCAATTCTTGTCCAGGGGAATCTTTTCTGAAATGTTCTACGCCTTACAGGTGAACATCGCTTCTTTCTTAATCAAAAAGAGTATATTTTGGAAAACTTTGAGAACAAAAAATATGGTTTGGGGGTCTTTCAAGACTTTACAAAGGCGTTTGACTGCCTTAGTCATGTGGTTTTACTTAAAAAGCTTGAAGCGTATGGCATCCACGGACAAGCTTTGCTACTTTTACAGTCCTACCTAGAATATCGCCAACAGTATGTAAATGTAAACGGTTATTCATCCACTGTAAGGTTCATCACGTCAGGGGTCCCACAGGGGAGCATATTGGGACCTTTTCTATTTAATTTATACATTAATGATATCGTTAACGTAAATAAGCACGCAAAATTCGTGATCTACGCGGATGATACGAGCGTATTTTTTTCTTCCGATACTTGCGACGATTTAATCGATATGGCAAATCTGACCTTATCAAAGATAAAAAGTTGGGAAGATAGCAACTCCTTGAAAATCAATATTCATAAAACAAAAGCTGTGATTTTTCGTCCAAAAAACAAGCCTGTGGTGCTGTCTAGAGTGCTCACTTTTGGCTCTACTCCAATCGAAATTGTTAGTTGTTTTAAAACTCTTGGAGTCATTTTTAGTGAGGGTATGTCTTGGGATAACCATATAAATTATCTTATCCCGAAAATAGCTCGAGTAGTGGGTATTATAAATCGATACAGATCTGTGTTACCAACAAATTTTAAATTATTGCTTTATAAATCATTATATTTCTCCCACTTACCGTATTGCCACCTTGTTTGGGGAACGTCAACATTTACCAATATTGATAAACTTTTTATGTTGCAAAATAAGATATTGAGATATATATGTAACGTGCCACGCGACTTTCATACCGCTGATTTATTTAAGAACTTGAAAATAATCACTAGTCACAATTTATATCAGTATCGGCTTTTACTTGTTATAAAAGTGAAAAAATAAGAGGTACATGTCTTTTAGAAAACCTTGCGTCGCTGAGGAAAGCTTCTCCTCCGTATCCTACCCGTAACCCAGAGAAATGGAAGATGGTCACGCAGCGAACAAATTATGGCTCTCAAATGTTAAGCTCCACACTCCCGCATTTGTTAAACAACCTTAACAGCAATAACATTGATCTAGAAAATCTAACCTTTAGAGACTTGCGCTTATTATATGCTTGTACATGATCCTTTTCTCTCTTAACATTTGCAAAAGGTGCTTTTAGTTTTGTGTACTGATTTGTAACATCATTGCCTCTAGCACGTTATTATGTTGTTTTTCGTTTGTTTTCCCGCATGCTTCCTGCTGTCCATTGTAGGGGCCCAGGGACTCGTCAAGCTGCTTACTGCAGCTTTTTTTCTTGGGCCCCACCATCATAAAGGATGGAAATAAAGCATTATTATTATTATTATTATTAAGTGAAGACAACGAGAACTGTGGAGGAGGATGGCACTGGTGCCCCGTGTTCCTTCTCGGGCATGTTGCCCTATGCCAGAACCAGCTGACCATATTCACGTGCGTGCTAGCCAGGGACAGCACGCCACGTGAATTTTGACGCTACTTTCGAGCTCTATATGAGACTCTGTATGTTGATGTTTCGCATCCTGTGCTCGTCAAATTAAATTCAGTGCTTTGTTCCTAAGCTAAAATCATCGTCTTGTGTTCTTCATCCGACTTGGGCACGCCGAGGAGCACTTCAACTAGTAATATAGCGCCCATATTAAAGATCAATAAAACAATCAGTTTGGTTCTTTAAGACGATGTTGTTGTGTCGTTCATTTCTTTCGCGTCGCTCTTTTTTGTTGAATATGTTACACCTCACCAAGATCTCCGCCAATATCACCATGGCATTAATGGTAGGTCATATTTTAGAGTTTTCAGGATACATAATATGTTCAAAGATGACAGCAAGAAGGAGGTTGTACAAAAACTCTGATTGAGAACGATTTCCGCGTGCTCATTGAGGCATGAGATACGCAGGATGTTTGGCTGCTAACCCTACTTGGCAAAGAAGATGTTGCACAACAAATTATCATGAAAATCTATAATTTTGTTATTCTTAGCATCTTAAATATTATGTTTACATGCAAGATATTGTCACCTTCTTTATATTCAACGCATATTCCCTTGTCGCAAGTCCCAATGTGATCGAGCTTGTCAGAGTCACCTCCTTCAAGAACCTGCAAGGAAAACATGTCTAAGTACGCATACCGCGCTCTTTTAAAAAGTTCAATAATAGTATTGTGGTTAGGATTGCCGCGTAGTTTGTTTAGTTCAGTGCGCTTTTATAATGTGAAGTGTAACCCTAAAAAGGCCCCTAAAGCTGTTTGGAAGACACACTAAAACTGATTGATTGATTGATAATGATACAAATATTAATATTATGTAAACGAAAATACAAAGATTCAGGGATTGAATTCATATGGCAACGCACATGTATAGGAAACCTAAGATACTTGGATTATATTACCATATACTGCGAACCCTCTGTATAAAGAATGGATTCTTACAGGTAGGTTGACGGTGGCTGAAATACGTCAAGGCTACCGTGATTAAAGTTGGTATAGCACTCGACGGGGATGTATTAAAAATGACGCTTCTAGAGCATCTCCATAACATTAAGAATAGCGAAAATACGAGCAACATGAAGGTTTTTCTAGAACTTGCCCGAAAAAAAGCGTTCCTTTTTTCATATATCATTAATTCTTTCGTCGTCTTCGGTATTTCAGAACGTGTAACGTGTTCACAAACTGTTTACAAAACAAATGAATGATAAATGTTTCGCAGTAAACACGCAGCCCTAGTCAGCTGGCGATCCGAATAAGGGATATGAACGTGGCTTTGTATTTTGATTATAGAGGGTGATCCCGAATATAAAGAACTGTGTTTTTCGACCCGGGTAGATAAACTAGGCATCACTGAATGCTCAAATTCTGTGAAAGTGTGATGCCACGGTTAGGATAGAATGCACAAGTTTGCGAATTACATGAAGTCACCTGAATCAAAGAAATTATTTGAGAAAAACTATTTTTCTCTATGAGTCGACGTCCACCTAAGCATAATTTTGTCGAGAAAGAAAGCGACATTGCTGGATCCGTCTAGCATCTATTTCAATGAAACAAACTTGTTAACAAAAAAGAAAGATTATTATATTTCTTGTATGAAGATATTTGACTCATAAGTCCCACGAGTGTTCACAATATGCTTTTTTTTTGTTTTGACGATGTTAAGCTTAGGTGGGTAATGGTTCATAGAACATTTTCGTTTTTCTCGATTTGTTCTTAGTCCAGGCAACGTCATCTTGTAAAACTTTTGCGTTATATTTCAACCACTAGTTTACGTCCTCACAGAGTTTGCCCTTTCTGCGATGCATAGTTTATTTATCTGGGCCGAACAACACTGTACTCTTTTCTCAGAAACATTTTGTATATGTATTTGTGCTCAGTAACCACGGTATTCATTCGTTATTAATATCAATCTAGTATTTATTTTTTAACTTTTTTGAGTAACAGAATAACGAACCTGTAGATTAAACAATACTCTGGAGCAAGATATTGTCAAAAATAAAATGTCGTGAGCTGAAAAATATATTTTGCGTAAACAAGGTATAGAATGTAGCGTCTTTAAGTATAATAACTGAAAGAATATCTTTCCATAATACAGGATATCCCAACAGTAATGCTTGCGTAATATTACGTCTTGACCAAGTACCTTATTCACACTGTAGGGCTCCAGAAACGTTATTTGTTCTCTCTTCTCTGAATAGTACTATTACCGAGTATATAAAAAACTGTAGGCATAAATACCTACCCCCCCCCAAAAAAAAAGAAAAGAAACGTTGCTTGCAACTATATTACGTCTGCCTCATTTAAGTATTTCAAAACAGCTGAAAAGACCGGGGCAAAAATGTCGCAAACAGCACGGACGGATGCTAACTTTCAACTGGTTTAATAAAAATTTTGGTGGAATCAATTCAAACACCTACCCTGCTACTGACGCCAGAAAAAAACAACTAATATGTTTCCCCATCACAGAATACACGTCGGAAGGATCATTTGCACAAAAATGCTCAAATCAACGAAACCTTTTTGTCATTTACAAAATTCAATAGTGTGCCAACGTACTTGTCACAAAATGGTAACAACAAGCGCTTGAATCATCTTTTTTTCAGTTTTTTTTTAAATAATTTTTCAGTCAAAACCACGGTTCGCATCTGAAACTCATCAAGTGTACGGAAAGATGGCCCCCACAATTGTCACAGTCCGTCGAAGCTCACGCACCCTTTTATTGGAACGTCGCCGCTTTTGTCCAATGCACACGTGTACATAACGTAGCGGGATTTCGTAAACAATAATCGCGAGGCACATTTTAAACAAAGTATAGTGATTCTTGAATCACTAAACGAGTTTTTTTTTGCCTTCAAATGACAAATGCTTCACACCTTGCAAAGTTCCGAAAAAACAGCATTCAGAGAATAAGTACAGCTAACTTCCAGTTGTTGAGTTAGATCTTGTGGGGAAGAACCAGCCAGCACTTCCGATTTGGACTGCATTGGGTGTTTTCTGTCACAAACTCAAAATTATGTTCTGTCTTTTTTGACAAAACGGATGAACGTTGGATAAGTTCTAAACAACTTCTAAAATGCGAGTTATCTTATTAAAATAAATAAATCAACTAAGAAGGTGATTTGTCATAAGTAGAAATTGTACCAGTTAAGAAGTGTTTGCGCTGTATAAAAATATCGAGGTGTAGGAAATAATTTTGATCAACAATGATATAGAAATTATGATTCCGTAACATAATGTGCGACCTTCAACGTAGCTATCTCACATAAAGACAGCCATTAAGACATTTCCTTCTATGATGCATATAAATATGTCTTGTTCTGAACGAACGTAACTGCGAGCCATCTTTTGAAATTATCAGCTGAGCTTATAGCGTTAGGATTTTAAAATTAATGTCAATATTTCAATTAGTTTGCATTTAAAATGCACGCTCACTGCCATTTGTTGAGTCAGTAATCACACTCCCTCCACAAGCTGAACAAAAGGTCTTATTGCATTAATATATCATTTGCTTGCAGAAATTATTTATATTATAGTTCTTCAACAAAGACCTCAGAATAGAAAACAAAATTACATAACAAATGCGATAAAATTATGCAGTCATCATGAATACAAATACGCATGCCGCAGTTATACGTATTACGCCTAGATAAAGGTTACAACTAAAGGGTATCAGGGGCATGCATGAGGTTAACAAGTCTGTTGGAGTACTTACCACACACACGGTACCATCCATGTAACGACCCCAATACGTGTTGGGGTCTTGTGGGTTTCCATTTTTACAGGGGTAAGTGCAGCCCAGCGAATATCCCGGCTAGTTCATATGAAAAGAAATACTTGAATAAATATACTGTATAATGCAATGCTAAATAAAAAAAAAATAACACTTTAATTTAAATAAAAAATTTCGAGGCGTATGTGTTCTGAATATTTCAGTTTCTTTCGGAATCAGAAAGAGATCAGTCGTTAATTGATCCACAGGAAAACAGCAATGCACTGAATGGGTGTCAATAGGCATAGATTTTAAATAGTCGGGTTTTGTTTGAAAACTTCTGTTTGTGTAACACTTCTGTGTTGAAGCAAGCAAAATCTTGATTGACTTTGAGTGTGCTTTTCCCATACCTATGATATATTTAACTAGATTTAGCTCTTTAGAGAAGTATTTTGCTATGGTTTTCTATTTTCTTTCTCGTTTAGAAACCTGTTATAAGCAATCAGTGTAGTTGAGTCAACTCATGCCTGTTGCTCGAGCATTAGTGGTGAAGTCCATTGGAATAATTTTTCTATGAAAAGAAACAAAAAAAAAAACAACAACAACAACAAACATGGACATTGCGCTCGTACTGTCTTTTTTGATAACTTCGTCGCTCAGTGTACAGGCTGTACAGCATTAAAACACCCGTTTGCAACTTACGCTAAAATTCTAAATGACGTGCAAATGCGTCATACCAAAACCAGAAATTAACAACACTGTGATTGCTTATGAGCAATGAGAATGCACTTACATCGTCGAACGGTTTGTCGGGACATCCCCAAAAAGGAGGTACTTCATCGCACGTTATTGGGCCTGTTGAGTAGAGCAGCAATAATATATGAAACCCATGAAACTTTAATATACGATATCCACGACTTACCAAAAGTAGCAATGATTACTGTGAAAAGTGTCGTGGCCAGCATTATCACTTCTCGCTAAGAAACCAAATATAAAGAACAAGAACAGTAGACTAGTGTGATATGAGCCTCAGAAACGAGCTAACGACAAAAGGCTAGCGCTCTCTCTGCCGGCTAGCGATAAGTATTCCCCTTTTTATACATGAGGTTGTGTGAGCTAAGACACGTGAACGTATAACCAAAATGACCAATGAGAGAGCGCGGGTTGCATTATAATGGCACTTGGCGAAAGTAATTCGTTGTGGTAGGTGTTGACGATCCTACACGTGCCATGCGTCACTTTACTCTGAACAATTGAACTCACACACCTGGCCCTGTTGAAAGCCATGACAACAATGGGTGTTTTTAAGGTAAAAAAGTTACAAAAGACGTGCCCCCAACCCCCTCCCGCAAAGGAGAAAACAAAAAATAAAGAAAAAATAAATGTAGACAGAGCTAAGTTAGTAAAAATGCTTGTACCACAGCTTCAATCGAAATGCCCTATCTAAGGATCTTTAATAATAATTCGTAAATTGAGAAAAAGAACACTTAAGACATAGATTGTAGAATCCTTCCTCCTGTAGAAGTGGCATAGCAAAAAGCTTTAAGACCAAATTTTGGAAGCGAAAGCTGTGAGAAAGAGTGATTCTTCTCTCCATTATTTTTGTCATTTAAACGTTGTTAGCAGAATGAACTCTTAGTGAGAAGTTTGGAATTCTTATATATTTATATATATATATAAATATATATATATATATATATATATATATATATATATATATATATATATATATATATGGGTGATTAATCTGAACTCAGGCACGGATTTAGGTTCGAATTTTTAATTTTTACGAAAAAATATATGTTTTGGGGCAATTCCTGTAATAAAAAAAGACGCAAACGGCAATATCGTCGGATTTTCCGTTTTCAAGTTATGGACCGTTGAAGCGGTCAAGGTGGAAACTGACGTTTTTCCAGCTTATCGGAGGCGCCATATTTCACTCCATCCCTTTTCTCTACTTTTCACGCTACACCAATATACATTCTAGACATAGGCTTTTTTATGCTAATTAAGTGTTTAGGTCATAACATTCTTAATGAGTATTTTTTTATAAACCAAACCGCCTCCCTACGACGATATTTGACGAAGTTCAGCAAGGTGTGTTATGTGACCTAATCAACATATTTTTATGACCTTTATATCACTGTAAAGCTCCAATCAAGTTCTTTCTTTTGGGCATATTTTTAATATTTTGTGGTAAGTAAATAATGCGCTACGTGTGCCTGAAAAACAAAAATTTTGAAAACCTCGCAAGTTTAGAGTCGGTTTTCTAAAAGCAAAAACACTTTTCATTTCTTCTATTTTTATCCGCAGTTAGTTAATATAGCAATCTATCAGAAACTATCAACATAAATTGTAATATGTTGTTTGTATGGTCACTATTAAGTCTCGAATCTCGTGCTATAAGCGTTTTAAACGGGACTTCGCACAGGCGCTCTCCTGAGCAGTATTTTGGCCTATGTAAGGTTTTAAATTTATCGTTAGCAGTTACCCCAACTCAATATACAACCATAAACATTAATACAATTTTAGTAGTGTACTTATAAAAAATTTACTTCGAAGTCCGTATCCACAAGTGCGGGCACAGCGCTTACGTCATCCCAATACGGGGGAATTCAGATCGTTAGAGACCTTCTCTTGGCCTTTTGCTTTTGGCTTTGAGTTCTAAATACCAAACTTGACATGTAATTGTCATATTTTCTTATGTCAAAGAGATATGCAGTGCATATACATATGTACGATTTAGCATCTGACGCTTAGGAAGTACGGTTTATTTTGTGCGCGCTCGGACTCTCGTAAATAACAAGCATTTCGTAGCTTGTAAGGCTTCCGACGTGTTAGTTATGTGTTTAGGTTTCATTTCTATTTTCAGTAATTCATGCCGGGTCACTTAGACTTTTTCCTTTTAAGTTTGTCCGGGAGTCTAGATGTTACGTATTTTCCCCGTGAATACATAGGGCGAAGCTCACACACCTTGCAAAGCACGCCAGTGCCAAGTAAATAAATATTGTTAGGATAAATATTGTTGCTTCACTAGCGTTTACGCTCAGATATTGAGGTAAGTAGTAACCAGGGATGGGCAGTATTTCAAATACAAGTATTTAATAATAATAATAATAATAATAATAATAATTTTATTGCAAATATGAAACATCAATACAAAAGAAAGCAAGTCTGTCAAAAGCCAATAGCGGCTTGTAGGACTAGACTCGGCATCGACGTAGAGAAAAAAACAGTTATATGTAAACATAGCGTAAGACGAAAGTAAACACAAGTTACAAAAATTGCAGACAAACCTGCAAAAAAAAAAAAGAAAGAACACGCCAAAGAAAAGAAATACCCCCCAGCATAATGGTTCTGGAACCTTAACAAACAAGATAGGTAGAAAACATAATACAAAACATCGCATTAAAAAAAAGAATACTCCAAACATGCCCAAAAAAAAACTACAAAAATATATTTCACAACTCATACATAAAAACGCGCATAAGTCAGCTAAAAACACAGGGGAAAGAGAAAAAAAAAACACCCACACGAGCCATACATGTACGTACAGTCGCCGGCCATATGAGCTCCCCCGGCCGAACGCCGAACGGAGCAGCGAAAATCCCGCATGCGGCGCGTCGAGCGTTGCCGCGTTCTGGGGGCCAGGCTATTGAGACCAAACCATTCCGTCATCAAAGGGGTGGACGCAGGAATTAATAGCATTCCGGGTTTTGGAACGTGAATCTGAAGCACGGCCGATTACAATCCCGCTTCCGGTTGTAGGTAAACGCAAACGGCTTATCGAAACTTTTCATTGCCTAACATCTCTGACGTTATATGCTACTTTTTTATTCGAAAAACCGGTTTGTCATTTTAAATATCTTCTACCCGAAGAGTAATCCTACGCACAGGCCCCCTTTCTTACAACCTTTCTTAAAACAAGATTAAACAATGACAAGCGACTTTGAAATAACTTATTTAATCTATAAGGATATGCAATAGACAACAAAAAAAATATTTATATCGAAGCTGAATAAAGATTCAGGAACTTTTCATGGACGCGTTTTATCGAGGAGACTCTATTGTTATGCGTTCAGTAGCGTGCTGCTTCGCCAAGGGTAATTCTCTTCTCGATGACTTTGCAGATGGCTTCCTGGTCGGCCACTTCTCGCTTGCCGAGGGATCCTGATTGTCATGCCTATTATCATATCAAACATAGGGTTTCTAGATTTGTAAACATCGATCGAACACTGCTGCTTTATCTATACGCCTGAAGCAAGCTCCAGTTTATCAGCAGTTATAACACCATCTCCGAAAACTTAGGGCTGAAACCCGAAGACGGAAATTCTGATCGGCCATGTTTTTGTGATTCACACTTCTAAAGGCTGGAATCCCGATAAATGCTATGCGTCCACCCCTTTGATAAAGGAATGGTTTGGTCCCAATACCCCGGCTCCCAAAGCGCGGCAACGCTCGACGCGCCGCGTGCGGGATTTTCGCTGATCCGGTCGGCGTTCGGCCGGGGGAGCTCATATGGCCGGCGACTGTACATATCTGAAAAGAGCAGTGAAATGAAATATTAAAGGCCGAGTTTTCAAGGCCTTAGCAGATCGTTCTTAGTAGTTTCTTAAGTTTACGTTTTGAATCTAATTCAAAAAAGGTATTGGACAGGCCGTTTAAAATTTCAGGGACATAAAACGAGGGCAGTCGTTGTCCATACTTCGTATACACACGTGGGATGATGAAACCTTCACCATCTCTTAGAACGCGATGTCCAACACTAGGAATTTTAAAAGGGCTTTACAAAATGTGTTTACTAATAACAGACCTTTGGAATAGAGCTAAAAACGCGGAAGACATAAATATTCAAACAAATCCTCACTTGGGATATTTATCGATGTATACGCTACGCTTTTTAAAATGCTTTTCAAGATGCTAATAATTTTATCTTGCCAGAGCCTAGAACACTTTGCGTAGACAGTAATGCCATATCTCAACAGACCATACGCTAAAGCATTCGCAATCATTTTTCTAACAGAAAGTGGGAGAATTATTTTGGCAGAGTATAACATATATGATACACTTCGTATTTTTTTAGCAACGTAACTAAGGTGAGAGTTCCAGGGCATGTCACTGTCAAAATAAATTCCTAAATCCTTATATGTATGAACATATTCGGGAGGATTACATCTGCAGCTCGTACAGTTTGAAGAGTGTAGTACAAAAGGAAGATGGGAACTCATACGTTTTAAAGGACTATTGAAACAGATCAGTTTTGTTTTATGAACATTAATTTTAATAAGATTGGCGTCAAACCAGTTCATTACCTGTGTAGCATTAGCTTGCAGTCAGTTAATCGCATTGTTACAATTTATATGCGTTGACACTGGCAGCGTGTCATCCACGTATTGAAATATTTGACATTCTGAGACAGATTTCGCGAGGTCGTTTACGTACAAATTAAACAAAAGTGGAGACCAAATAGAACCTTGAGGTACTCGTGCTTTCAAGGACACTTTGGCGCTACTGGTATTCCAAACTGAAACATGCTCCGTCCGCTTTGCTAGAAAATCTTGAAGTAAGTTGAAAGAAGGCCCTCTGAAACCGTAGCTGAAAAGTTTTTTTAACAGTATTTTATGGTTGTTGGAGTCAAACGCCTTAGCAACGCCTAAAAACAGAGCGCATGCATATTTGTTTTTTTAAACGTGCTATGTAATGAATCTACGAGGTCTTTCAGTAGAGATTCGGTGCCACATCCCGCAATAAAACCATACTGCGACGGAGCTAGTAAATTAGACTTTTCAAGAAAAATTGTCATAGTTTTCAAAATGTGCTTTTCAAATGGTAACGCTAAGCACGGAAGAATAGAGATCGGTCTGTAGCTTTCTGCGTTGTTTCGCGTGCTTCCTTTGTAAAGTGGTCTCACGATAGTACTTTTAAGGCCAATAGGAATGATCCCTGAATCGACAATACCGTTAAA